ACAATTCCACAGTAAACTATATTATGCTATAATGTAGTGAGACCACACAACGCCAAATTACAATTATTTGGGTTGTAAAACGTTTCCAAAATACCAAAATTTTGAGGGGTACCGTTATATGGACTACTCTAAGGGTAGACCAATGAGAATCTCGAAAACCATATAATATAATTTATAATTTATTTTAGGAATTATAATTCCAAAAACAAATTACAGCTGCTTCATCTAATTTCGAAAATTGGGCGTAACAATACAGCTCGTTTTTTTAAGTTGGCCTGAATGCAAACAGTAGAAAACTCTGATGTTTTTGAGATTTTACTATGAAAACACATTGTTATTATATATTTTTTTAAACAAAATGGCGAATTTATATAAGGTTTCGAATGTCAAATACAAACTAAATACATTTTTCATACACTTATTGAAATAACTAAAAATAAGGAATATATTGCCAGGACATTCGCTCATTTAAAAAAAAAAAAACATTTGGAAAAAAACAAACTTACCGCCTGTTTTTGTAAAATTCCAAACGAACGAATTCGAGTGACTTACGACCAAACTCCTTGGTTTTGAAAAATATGTCATTTATTTTTGTTTTGAATCAGAAAACCTTTATAAACATAAATAAAGGTTTGGTCGTAAGTCACTCGAATTCGATCGTTTGGAATTTTACAAAAACAGGCTGTTAGACTTGAGAATGGATCAAACATATTTGTAAGCAGTATGTACTCATATTTGTTGAATAAATGGATTCGGTTAAGCTATTATATGGTACGGTAATAATATTTTAATTTGCAAAGTTTGGATCAAAACAGACATTCAAGATTTTCAATGGGTTGTTGAATGAATACCAATGCTTGTTAAGATTTGTAACTTTGCGCACATACATATATATTTCAAGATTTAATAGTTGCTGCTTTGTTGTTGTTTTTTTTTTTTTGTGATTAAAGAAAATTCCTTATTTTCGATGGCGGGCATGATGACTCCTCATTGGAACACTGGAATCCAAAAATTCCAACGGCATTAGAAAGAGTATATTGTCTTCGCACAAAAAATTAAAAAGAATGGCTGAGCTTTAAAAATATTTTTTTTTAATATTTTTGTTAAGAAATAGGGAAACACTGATCCACTCTTGCCGTCACTTGATGCTAACACAATAAGTCGGCTCTATCTTCAAGAGTTGGTTACATTTTAATTTGAAATTTTACAGGGACATTCTTGAATTAGTGAAGGATCGAATTAAATCAAAAAACAAAATTTAATTGTTGAAACCCCTTAAATTCGAAGATTGTATTCCCCTTAAATTCGAAGATTGTATTGTATTCCGATTTGATCCGTTGATTTTTTCAAACCCACTTTAAATCCAAAAATGGAGTCAATATGGCAATCTTTTCTGGTACGTCTCCACAGATGATCAATTTTGACATAATTTTAATCCAATATCAAACTAATGAAATGTCTGTTTTGATCCAAACTTTGCAAATTAAAATATTATTACCAAACCTAGATGAAGTCTAAAGATCCTCACCCAGAAAGGGTTAACATTTTAAAAACATGTAAATTTAATTTGAGGTAAATTGAATAACCGATTCAACATTTCCACCATTTTGACAAACCTACATTAAATCCGAAGATGGGGTCTATAGGGCAATATTTTATGTATTATTTTTAGATGATCAACTCTTTGAAAAACAACATATACAGAATAAAGAATCAGTTTACACATTGAATAAGTTTTTCAAATAGACCCGCAAATTTTGTATAGAGTTATGGTCGGGACTTTGGGCTGGCCTATACAAAATGTGTGATAGCATATGTAATGTTTTGAAAAAATATAAATAAAAACCCAATTTTAAAAACAAATCCTGATATTCCATTATACTTGAGTTTTTAGTAAAATATTAAATATATGTCAAATGAAAAGATTGACTTGTTGCATACGTTTTTATTTATTCATTTAATATACATTTAAATAATATTAGTAATAATATAATCTATTAATAAAATAAAAAATTCTTACATTATAGCTCACGGCGTAGAGGTGTATATTTTCTTTGCAGACAAAATACACCCTACTTTTCATAATTGTACCATGGTACATATGACATCGGTGGTTCGTGCGACTACGTCTTAACCTGTAGGCCTATTCTGTAACTTTTAACAACATCCGACATTGTTTAAATTTATTTTTTTATTGTAAAAACAACAAAACAAATGAAATTGTTGTAAAATAAACAATATCGAATAAGCCTACTGGAGTTTGGAAACGATGTTACAATTATACAAGGTAAGGTATCATTGTCAACAAAGAGAAAATACGCCACTATCTTGTGGTCTATAATGGCAGAATAAATAATAAATAACGAATGCAATATGTCGTTCTGTTCATTTGACACATTTTAAACTTTTACTAAAAACGCGAAAAATGAATGGAATGTAAGGTTTTCTGTTCAGAATCGAGTTGGGAATATGATTTACATATGATTTACATATGTTTCCGTACTGCAAGAATGTACTAGATTTTACTATTTTCTTCGATATCATAAAGGAAAATTCATTCATTGTTACCCAAGAGTGCAATAAATTGAAATTTATCACAACCAATCGACATTACATTACCCACACATACTGCTCCACATTTCCCACATTTCCATTATTTTTATTCGCAGTTTAGAGTTGTTTGAAATATAATTAGTCTGCTTTTCCACAGACAGATTTTTATTTGGCAAATTTTTTGTTTTCTCTTTTGAAATTTTCGCTTGCTTTTCCATTAGCAAATTTTTCTTTGCCAAATTTGCGAATCAAAATACAAAAGAAAGAAAATAAAAGTCAAAAGTGTTTGCATTTTAAAGTTTTTTTTTTTAATATTTTTTTTTTATTTGTTATATATTTTATTATATAAATTGCAAAAATTAAAAATTAAATTTCACTTGCACAAATTAAAGAAACAGGTTTGTAAACAAAAGCCGGCTGTGTGTCAGTAAATCGAATAGGTTCAAAAGGAAATGTCAACAAAATTGTTTTCAACGAACAGAGCAAAGCAGAATTTGCGTGCAAATTTTTGTTTTTCTTCCTCGCACTCCTCTCACCAACAAACTCAGTATTTGCCAAATAAAAATTTGCCTGTAGAAAAGCAGAATTATAGTGCAATGTTGTAAAATTCTTCATTAAACAAATGGTTTTTAGAATATATTTTTCAAAGCATTACACACATTTTGTATACGACTTTGGTATAACAAGCCACTAATGAAATATAGGAAGAAATTGTAATTTTTTAAGTTGCTATAGCCTACCGTGAATAATTGTGCCATTATGTTTTTAGTCGTCTGTTTCTGGTTTCTACATGTAAATGTAATTGGACTGGAACACATAAAATATCGATGTTTAATTTATAGATCCCTATTTGTTTGGTTGTTATCGTTGTAGTCAATGACGCCATTGACATTACAGCGGAGCTATGTACTGTAATACCGAGTGAAGCTGGAATCCTGAAATTGGGAAATTTGATTTCTATTGGATTTATATTAATGTGTACCAAATGGTACTAAATTTTATAATATTAAAGGGCTAAGCAGAATGCTCGCGTTGAGCCATCCGTTGCGTTATGTGTTATCGAAAATACAACAACCACAAGGAAACGATAACAAAAACGCTCGATGTTGATGTGCGCTGCGCTTCGGAGTTAAATATATTTTAACTTTTTGCGTGCGTTAACGCGATAACAAAAAACGCTCAACGCGAACATTCTGTTTAGCCCTTAAGATTTGGGTTAATCTATAGAACACAAACCATGAAATTTGGAATTAGTTTTGGAAAAAAGTACTTCAAGTTTACGAAAGGTAATAAATGGAACTAAAATCGGTATAGAGCTTGATTGCTGTTGCAGTCAGAATTGGTGTGTAGTGTTGAGATATGAAGGTAGTTTTGGAAATACGTAATTAAAGATAACAAAGGAACTAAATTGTACTAACATTTTAATTATGGTCAATATTGATGTGTATGATCTATGATGCAATTTCATAGCCTCTCCTTTCCAAGTGCCAACCTCGCCCACCCACGGTGACCCCTGTTTTCGCAAAAGAGGCGCTGGAGAGTATAATTATATACCAAATATATGTTTATGCTCAACTTACTTATTATTGGTCTGTTTCCCAACTACAAGAATTTACTAGATTTTACAATTTTCTTCGTAACATAAAGGAAAATTCATTATCGTAGTAAAAAGTAGTGGATTCTTTCAGTACGGGACAGACCATATATCTTAAATAGTACAGAAAAGCAAGATGGGAAGAAGGCGATGCTGCGGAACACAGCTATAGTGAAATAGTGAAGAGGAACAAGACAGAAGGAATATCAAATATCATCATGCAATAATAAGGTGATGTATCAAAACAAAAACATTTATTTTTAAGCACACCCCCTTTCCGCCCGTTGGTTAATTGCATGGCACAATTATGTTTTTACAAATCACCCAACAGGAAAATTGGAAACGCATACAATTCGAAATTGTTTTTTATTACATGTCATGGGAAAGTTTGAGGACGAAAATATTTCTTCATGGAATGTGCAATTTTAAGAAAATTTTAGGTTTGAAATATTGAACCAAGTATTTATAAAGAAATTCGAAAGTCGATCTTGAAAAGTCGACTTTGCGATTTTCTTTAAGTTCAAAAGTCGACATCGACTTTTTGACTTTTCAATACAAAAAATCGATTAATCGATAAGTCGAAAGTCGATTTACTTGTCCCTAACCGAGTGCATCATATTCAGGACATTCTACATATTTAGGGCGCATACAGAAGAGCGTTTGGTTGGAATTGAATTTGCAAATTCCAGTTCATTGTAAGATTGGCATAATTTGTTCCTTTTCATATTAATGAATCGTGTGTGCCCTAGTTTGGATAATTGAAGTGATTTACATTGTCTAAGCAAAATAAAGAAAACAAAAGAATCTTGGCGTCATTGTGTCTTTTGCGACTTGCCGATAGTTTTTCTTTTGCATTTTTTTTTATGTGAAACAAAGCTCATCTAAATGTGCCCAAAATGAAAGTTACAATCAAATCATGGATGGGTGTTGCATCATGGCGTTGGATAGCAAATGATGAAAATTGTGGCATTTGTCGTATGTCATTTGAGAGTACATGTCCGGAATGTGCGCTTCCCGGCGATAATTGTCCATTGGTGTGGGGCGTCTGTACGCATTGCTTCCACATGCATTGTATTGTCAAGTGGCTGAATTTGCAAACTATGAATAAGCAGTGTCCAATGTGCCGACAAGCTTGGAAGTTTAACTTTCACTAAACGCTTGGAATTCAATAGTCGATCAAATGAAACGGAATTAAAAATAAATAAACAAATTAAACTATACAATAATAATCAAATCGAAACTAAAAGTCAAAATTTTGCGGAATCAGCATATTTTGCTGTAGAAAATAAGTTAAGGGAGGAAAAAACGAACGAAGTGAGAGCAAGCTGTATATTGAAATTAAAAACCATCTGTCGCAGCGCGCCAGCTTTTAAGAGTAGTAACGTTGCTCTGAGTTGCTATTGTTCCATAGAGTACTAGTAGAAGAATAACACACAACGCAACCTCAGAAGAGAGGTAAAGTGGATTCAAGTGCCGTGAGCGAGAGTGAGACAAGTTGGAGAGTGAACAACAACTAAAACAAATAGGTAGTTAACAAGGGTGCTTGTATTTTTTTTCATCTTTTCTGCCAAACAATAGAATAATACATATCTATGCCTTCTATTACAACTTTCTTTCTAGCGACAACGCCGCAATTCAAGAAGACCAAGCATCGTTTTAGTGTAAAGAAAACATTTACAGTTGTCATTGCGCAAATTGGCAAAACCGGTAAATAGCAAAAATGGAGGAGGACCACAAACTTACACTGCCCGGCTTACCGCCTTTACCGAAAAGCCTTAGTGCGGCTATCGGCCAGCCCAATTCGTCATCACCTCTAAGTCATGCCCATCACTTCTTGGATCCTGATTTGTATTTGGGTGCTTCTACCTCTGCGGCGGCATCGCATCGTGGCAGTCAACGTGTAGGTGGTGGGGGAGGCAGCAGTAGTAATTCATACCGCCATGGTAGTCTATCATCGACGCAGGAATCGCTTAGTGATCGTGAAAGTATACACAGTCGAGCCTCGTCCACACACAGTGCCGGCGGTCATCTGTCGCACTACCATCAACAGCAGCAGTCTTCGCTGCTGCACACGCCCACCAACAATAACCACTCCAACCACAGCAGCAATAACAATTCGCATAACCATCATGCCCGTACTGACAGTGATAGTACATCTGGGTCAAGTACCACCACAAAATTGGATACACAATTGGCCATATTAAGGCGTGAAATGTATGGACTAAGGCAGTTGGATTTATCGCTGTTATCTCAGTTGTGGGCTCTAAATGAATCGATACAAGGGTTCCGTGCATACATACAGGAACAAGAAGCTCTATCGCCTCCATCACCTTCTCCCACGCCATCGGAAACAAATTCCCTTACATCGGAACCAGATGAAGAGTCGTATTCGGGACAGCATGCTCTACCGGGCAAAGTAACACAACAACAACCGCCCATAACAATGGTGCAGAGTTTACTGCCGAAACGGGGTTCTACCACATCAACTTCGACCTCGAATACATCGGGTTCTTCATCGAATAACTCATCGATAAGTAAACATCAGCATCATGGCGGAAATGGAGTGTTTCCAGCAAGCAACGGCAGTGGCATTATGCCGCCACAAGCTCCATTGCCACAGAAATCGCATCCACAGTTACCTCGTATACTGCAGCAACGAATGCGTCGAGCTCCCCCGCCACCACCACCCAATCGGCCCAAGTCATCGACATCAATTACTTCCAGTTCCTCACATGGTGGTGGAGGCAACACTGGTCACCACCACCATCATTCAACCGCCACCAGTAAATCTTCATCGCCTTCTCCATCTCCAGCACAAGGCGGAAATATAGTTAATCAGTCGTCATCTTCATCGATGGCTCCACGGCATGTATGACAAAATCCCTTCTTAGACTAGACCGCGGTGTTAGAGTTGCCAGTCTAGTCTAAGAGCATAGGGATTCACACAACTTATAATGCTAAAATACAAAATTTAGAACAATAAAACGACGTTAATTGAACGTAAATTCTTACCACAACGTAACCATACCAAACAAATCTAAAAGATTGTCAATTTTCTTCTTATAAAGAAAATATTAAGTATTGCTACTGGATCTAAGGTAAGCTGTTCTGTTGTTTATTTTATTACTAGAAAGTTTTACGAATGCATTGTACAGCTTTAGAGATAAAATAAAAAAAAATCAAATATGTCTTAATATGTATAAATTGTACAATTTACTTACTATTAATGGCAACTAAATGAGTAATAGTCTATTAAAAATAAAATTGACATTTGGAAATTTTTTAAGGGCCCCATACACCATAAATCATGCCGTCATGCCGATGAACCCCTTTTTGTATATGTGAAATTGACTAGTGTATGGCAAACTCTTCAATCTTTATTCCAAAAAATCGATTTTTGTCCCAAAAATTGCATTTTGAGTCGTAAATTAAGTTGTTTTTTATTCCGTCACAATTTTATTATTGTTGTACACAAAATTATTTACTGACAACTTTCAAAATGAATATTATTCACCAGATTGATAGGGGTACATTTTCAAAATCAAAATTATTTTGATTTTCTTCATGCATTGTGTGTGTCACACATACATAAATAAACTTTCAAAAAATAACATATACTATGATAAATGCTGTAAGGCATGATGTATAGTGTATGGGGCCCTTTATATTCTCAACGTCATGCAATTGCTCTACAAAATGTTAGTTGATTAATTCAATTGTTATATGGATGCAAATTTAATTTGTTGATGTACAATATTTTTATTTAGATTCGCTACATCCTTGCATTCGGTATATACATTATATTTGATATTATATTTGCTTTACTTTGTATGAAATAAATAAAAATTGGCGGAAAAATACTTTATAAATTATACTTAGGATTTCTTTCACAAAAATAAAAACATTTTTAATGTACAGTACAAATTATACATTCTGAATACAAAACGATTTAAATTTTTTTTGGACTGTATAAACAAAATGCTACAGTACACATTTTAAAAATGGAAATAAATATGTACTTATAAACCTGGAGTACCAACAGGTATGCACGGTAACTTTTCTAGTAGAAATTAGTCTGTAAACCTGGATGAGAGAGTTCGCTCTCTTCTTTTAAAATGAACAAAAAAAAAAAAAAACTATCGTACAACATCCAGTAAAATCCACGATCACTGTGTATATATAGAAATCCTGATTATAAGCACCAACGATGTTTATAATAAATATCTCGCTTATATGCAGATCCAATACCCACACAATATCCGCTTTAAAACTACTTACTTTTTACGTCCCTGGTACCTCCCATATATACTTTCGCCCGAATGATTGTGCTCAATATCGTAAATTGGGCTGGGCTCAAAAGTAAATCAATGTTGATTTTTGGTAATAAGATTTGACAACCAATTATAACATAAAATACCAAATCACAGTACAACAAATTTCTGTACATGGCATTAGATTTCTTAGTTAATTTATTTTCTTATGTGTTGCTACTTGTCGACATTTCTCATTGCCAAACAATATTTTTGAAGAGTTTATATGTATCTGGCAAAACATTGTTTTATTTTCCAAAATATATTTCATTTAATTTTCAATTTTTTGTTTCTTTTGCAGGAACTGATTTGCTTTTTCTACAATTACTCTGAAGCTGTTAATGATCATCAAAACTAGAAAATATTACTCAACGAATATTACTGCAGTATAATAAAAATTTCGCATAGCCAAAAACACGTTCTGTTTTATTTACAAAGAAAAAACCTACATATTGCATAAATTCGATTGCGACAAAGGACATGTTCGTTAATGGTCGTCACAACCACAACGAATCCCTGTTTGAAATAACGTATGCCAGATACAGGAATGATGCATGTTAAGTGCAAACATGTAAGTTTGGCTACACATTTATATTAGTTTTAAGAAATTATTGTTTAAAGCTAAAAAGTACACTTTATGTTGGGATCATTGCTACATATTTATTGTGGATAAATAAAAACAAAATATTTGCAAATTTCTTCACTACATAGCGTATAGTTACTATTGCCGAAAAATTGCATGTCTCTTCGACGAAACTGTTAAATATTCATAAGAATAAAATCGATCACTATTTTAGCTCTTTAGGGAATTTTGAAATTTTGAAAATAAAATTATTGGTCTTAATAAATTTCTTTATAAAATCCACGTCTATTGGTCTTAACCGGAATTAACTGTTTCCCTCAATTTCAAAAAAACAATATTTTGAAATATTGACATAGAGCATTTGTTTATTTTATTATTTGTTCTTCAAATAAATTTACATAAATACTTTTTTTTAAATCTTCAAAATATAGGCTTTTATATAAAATATAATAATTGACTTAGAAAACGCCGAAAATTACCAAGTGCAAAGCAATGTTTAATTTCTTTTCTAAACGAAAGGAAATTGAATAGGCCAGCAATTTCAACAACTCCATAGATACAGCAACAAATCTATTAAATTTTGCCAATGCCAAATTCAGAAGGTAAGACATGAATGATGGATGTACAAATGAAAGTAAAATTTTATTTATTTATCGGATCGGAAGTTCGAAATGTCTGGAGTTTTATTCGAATATATGGATTCATATTTAAAAATGTTGACAGAAAATATTGTTTGTGCCAATCCTATCGTAGTGGACCTTCGGGTCGCTGAAATTTTCTATTATTTTCTAGATCATCCCGGTACGCATCAGTTTTTTTGTTTGCTACCCAAACATAAGATATTCTTCTATCATAACTAGAAATCCCGTTATTTGATTTATTATTTATGTCGGAATTAAAGTTGGGATAATATCTTATTTTCTTCAATTTAGGAACTATTCTCTCATCCTTCACTCCATTTTCTCTTTTTCTTATCATTTCATTTTTCCCATTACGACTGTGTAGTCTATACAGTTTTGGTTATACTTTTTCAATGTTTTGCATATAAAGAAAACATTGATTTCTTGCTAAACAAAGCCACTTACATTTTGTTTTAAGATTCCTGCTGTCTGAAATTAATCCATGCATAGTGAGTTGAGGATCACAACTATGCGTGCGTGATGTGTGTAGATAGTGAGAATTATGGTATTATGTTTGTTAGCTTTGGGGTTACAGAAAGTTCGACACTGCAGATATGTAGTGTCGTACGGTGCTTGTCTTTACTGGTGGCAGATATAGACTCTGCTTTACTAAAACGGAAACAATATGGGTGTTTGTTTATCCGAGTTATCCGATATTTTCACTTAAGCGGAGGTCCGATTAACTGAACATAATTTCAGTTATCCCAACTTCGCATAATTGAATAATTTGTTCTGTTATAGGAATTTCTTGAAATTAGAACTATTTCTATAATCGATCTTTTATAGAGAATTTGCATGTTATAAACTAAAAGTGGTTGACATATTCACATTCACTTCTTTGTATTGGACTTTTATTATAAAATGCGCGGCACCTAACGAAGTCCATATTTTTTACCATTAAAAACATGTTTGATTTTAAAAATGAAATATATCGGTTCATATTTTAAAAATGTTCAATATGACAACACTGGCAAAGTATTTTAGCTTTCTGCTTCTTTTTCCTTAGCGATCGTTCTTCTTTGATGACGATAGGTAATCGTTGAGGTACCGATTAATAAACTTATCGATGACATAATCGATGGAACCTCAACATATTCAATTTGGTTTTTCGAAAAAAATTGTTCTTATATATGTATGTATTTTTGCATTGACTATAAGAGCATATTTGAGATCGGTTTTTGTGGTTTAATATATCCTAGACGCATTTAACTTCAATGTGACTACAATTAGTAATCCAGTGTAGTCAAGGGGTGGGTGTCATCTTAAATTTTGAACGGTACGTTCTGTTATATACATATTTTTCCAGTTGTTGTCAAAAGTTTGGCCGGACGAACATTACGTTTTAAAGGTGATGATACATACTCGGAAATAATCATTAATTATAGCAAAAAATATCTCTTACGTGGGTATGAAAGTTTGTATTCCTCAATTAACATTCCGTGTCACTACATCCCATTCTCATGACATTCGGTAAAGCAGAGTGATTTCAAATGAAATTGCAAGGTTTGACTCCAAAAGCAAATTCAGTTGTAAAATATTCTCAATCCATTTCCGAGTCATTTAAGTATTGAACAATTTTAATCTATTTTTGTGTACGTTTATTGTTTTTCCATCTCCCAATGATAGTGAGCAGTTCCCATTATACATTGGCTCTAATTTGTGACCAGCATTATTGTTTATTAGTACTAGATCACCTATGTGTATATTTAGAGTGTTTGCAATTTACTAGAACATTTTTATTTAGTAATCATTTTTGCTGCTCGTCATTGGGCCATATTATAACAGTATGTTAGATACTTAAGCCACTCATCCAATCCGTTCTGTCTAATGATATATATGAACGTATATATTCAGTAAATGTCCTATGTGACATTTCTATGGAACCAGTTTGATGATGGTATGCCTTCGAGGTGACATGTTAAACATCCATAAAAAGTTCATGCAGATTCTGGTTTTATACTCTGTCAGTAATAACATTCCTCGTTGGTCCATATGTGAGTACAAAGTTTTCAATAATGGCCGTAGCTACTGACCGTTTTGTCAGGCACTGGTATAGTTACCAAGTACTTTGTGAGATCACATATTATTTTAACAGCCTATCCATTACAGTTGTTTGATTTGATGAAATGAATTATAGTGTCAATAATTGTTATGCACAAAGGCTCTTTCGTCGTAATTTTTTAACATAATTTTTGATGTCCTTAGACATTCGTTTCAAACGATATTTTTGAAGGAGTTTTTTTGAGATTCTTTTGATACCCGGATGACCTCCTGACAGGATCGCCATGCGAAGAATACAAGTCCATTTAGTTTTAGTGTTGTTTATTGAATACATATTTTTTTAATATGAAAACAGCATCCAAAAGT